GGCAATGTTCTGATGGTCCAGCCCAAGGTGGCGAAGGAGCAGCTGAATCAAGGGCACATAAATTCCCCGCTGGGAAATCGGCACTGAGGCAATGAAGACCGAATCAGACCCTCGACGGTAGCACTCAAATTGCAGCCAGTGGTTGTTGTGGATGACCATCCAAATCACATGGTTGTACGTGCCATACTCTGGGATCAAGCCATTGGGGAATTCCAACGCACGCGTAGTCAAATTCCACACTGCCGGGGCGCAAAACAGAGTAGATGGCTGGATGATTCTGGCCACATCAAGGGAGAAGTCCATTTCATCAGTTGCCATCCAGCCACTGTATGTCAGCATGTGTTCCAAGCGAGTAGCCACCCGGTTAGCTGCAACCTCTTCAGCAGACAGCGGTGGAGTTGGTAAAGTGGACGATAGCGGCGACAGTCTGACTGGCCAAGCAGCGACGAGTTCTTTCTGTGGAATAGGATTCTGCTGAGACTCTCTTCTTGCCAGGAAGATCAGAAACTTCTTGCGCAAAAGGGCGGCCAGATGAGCCAGAGGAGGAGGAGCGTTGTACGTTCTCCAGTCTTCCAATGCACACTCCATGGTCATTGTGATGATGTCACGAACACGATCAGCAACACCAGCAAAGGATTCGGGCTGGAAGTCATCGGCTAGGTCAAAGAGTTGGACCCACCTCTGCACTAGGCGCCATCCACATAGATGGGGAAGATGCTCCTCATGTTCACTTGATGTCGACAGCCGATGAGGCGCAATGTCCAAGAGCCTAGCCACGACACGAGTTGCAGCATTTTGCAGGTGTTGTGGAAGTTGCACAAAATTGAGATTTGCAGCATCAGCAGTTCTGCGGATCTCGATGGCTGCCCAATGGTCATCAACCAACACGCAAATCACATTGGTGGTGTTGTTGAGCAAGTAGAGCTCTCCAAATGGTGACAGCGTGAAGTCAGAATCTTGCTGGTTCCAGTAAACTGGTGCAGTGAACTTGTATGAGTCCTGCATGAACATGATGTTCTGTGCGATGCTCCACAATTCATCTGCAGCAATCCAACCATGCGTGTTGCACATATATTCAGCCCGTGCCTGAAAGTCAGCGCCTGCAGCCAATGTTGGTGTTGCACCTGAGGAAAGATGGTGACCCCCCGCACGAATCTCATGGCTTCTCTGGAGGCTCAAGAGGGCACCATTTTGTAGAGGACCATCATATTGGTCACTCGGTGCTTCATTGATCCAAGCAACCTCATGTAGGAATCCTCGAAACTGAAAAGTGGGAAGAGGCCTCGAAGCACTGCCAACAATAGAGTGCATCACATGCTTTTCTGCGGGAATGCAAACAGTAACAGCAATGCCATCACTCGGCGCCAGCTGCTCAAAGACATGGATGATGCGAAAGGAGGGGCTGGAGTCAGCGACCCCTTCATGAGCCAAGGTCGTAGTCAACCGCTCATTGGATGAGAGCAAGCGTTGCATACCAGCAAGGACTTCATCATAGTTGGCGTGATTACAGCCAAGTCGGACAGCTCCTGGTAGCAAGTGATGGACCACATAAACTGGGAAGTGCTCAGATCCTTTCACGAAGTCAATCGGTTTCATGATCTCAAGGAGCTTTACGAAGACTTCTGAGCCCCAAACATTTCCAAGGTTCCAGGAAGCTTCAGCTCAATAGCATCATTCACAAGGTCGATGATGGGCACTGTAGCAGGGCATGGACCCTTGGTGGCACATGTAGTCAAAGGTTGACCAACTGGCTGCAAGATCAAACGGCACCGAAGAAGGCATACGCTGACAACAAGGAGCTCCCAATCATCATCAATAGCCGCAAGCTCTCGCAAGCTCATTGCGATGCTGCCTTTGCTCCCAGAAGAGATCAAGGAGCACTGCTGGAAAAGTCCCTCAGGGCCATCGAGGACGGTAGTCAAAACCTCAATGAAGATGGCCTTGGATGTAGCTCGGGTCTCCAGGGTCGTAGCCCAGGCATCAAGACTGAATTGAACACGCCATTCACCTTGTCCTTGAGAGATGACCTTAGGAGTCAGGCACTGGTGCACTATTGTGCTGAAGGCATGAGACGGACAAACGAACCTTGCTCGAAAAGGACGGCCGACTGGGCTGTCAGTCGATGCTCCCAAGCATCTCTCATGATAGAGACAGGATCAATGGATTCAGGCAGTACTGCATACACACCGACACAAATGCACATGACACTATGTGGAATAGTGATTGCATTGCCTACCACTTTGAACGCAAGCGAAAGTTTGCTCGGCAGCACAAGTTCTGCAAGGAGACCGAATAAGCTGCAAAAGTGGGCCGGATCGAGAAAGCAGTAAAAGCCATCCTGTTGCTTGAGGACTGCGAAGATGCCTTTTGTTTGCAAATGCTCACTAGCCAAATGGTGCTGGCTCGAATACGAAGCGCAGAGCGTAGGGAGCGGCTCGGTGGGGCAGGCGAGACGGCCCTGCAGGCCAGCATCAGGTCGTGAGGAGGCAGCAATTTTTGCCCTCTTTGCGGCTGGAACAAGTTGCGGATCATTGTAAATGGCGGCTTCCGAACTGCTCAATCGCGCTTGTTCTTTCCAGACCTTAGGAAGGTAGAACTGGTAGCGATCATCGTTCCACGGGACTCTTGGCACGATGGAGCATGGCAGGCTAAATCCAAGAGACTCTGCGGGGATGTCGGCGCGAACCCATACACACAACCACCTCGTTCGGCAGTGGTGAGCTAACTCATGGTAAGGGACGATCTGTGACCAAATCATTCTGTACCCGAACATGGTAGCTATACACTGTACAAGTTTAAAGTGAGCATGCGATGCCAATTCGTCCACACATTCGGCACATGCCAGGATGGGTTGCAGCATGAAAACTTGTTCCAAACCAGCTACAAAGGACCATCCATTTGGATCCATGAGACCCCATGACTTGCCACCCTTCGACCACGATTGGCATGGTGGTGAAAGCGTGCACATGAGGTTGACCTGGCATCTATGGACAAACGGTATAGTGGGGTCGGCGACGTCACCCACAATGGCAATCTTCCCAGCTGGATTCCAGGGTTCATTTGGTCGGATGGGACAACGAAGCAGCTCACACTTATGGCGGGCCTTGCACAGCTGAAGGATCGTCTCATCATGGTCCACAAATACCTGACGTCCAATGGCGAATCCGAAACCAGCATTCGGGAGCCATTCCATCGCTTGGCTCCACCCACAGAGGCCTCCGCAAAATAGGTGGGTGCAATCCCATCCAAAAGTGCAGTCAAGTTCCGGGCGAGAGTGGACTGAGGCTGAATGAGCAAAGTTGTAAATGTGCAACTTTGGTGAGGAGAGCAGTGTGCCACAACAGATCAACTGTGCACCTGGGCAAACTGGAATCGATCTTGCCGTGAGCTCCGGCATAGTGACCACAACCTTGTCAGGGACTGAGTCAGCATGGTGGAAGCCTTTGCCTGGGGCAAAGGCGAGAGGCTTAAGTTCAATCGAATCACCTGCGCAGCAAATAGCCCCACCAGCGATGAACGCTCTTCCACATACCTGCAGCGGAAAAGTGGCCGCTGAAAGGTCATGAAGGAGAGACCTGAACAAAGTCCTCGTCGATCCAGCTAAGACCTGGTCGGCCAGATCGAGCACCAAAGCAGTGTCCATGGCAAAGGAGCAACGGGCGGGTCACAAAGACACCAACACAAAGATGCACCGGGAGAAGAGTACGGACTCTTCCTCGTCGACACCGGTCAGAGTCCGCACTCACAGCCGGCCTAGGGCCCCCGATAGCCCGAGCTTTAGGGCCTTTGAACCCAGCGGCTATATGTATACATATATATATATACTCCCCTAGAGGTTGTTTGTGTTGACCTGGTAATTCGGGAAGTGGGAGCAAACAGCCACACCCTTCCAGAAACAGAGCTTGACAGACTCGGAAGAGACCAGACTGGCCCCAGTTTTGCATTTAGAAAGGTTGGGCGACCCAGCTGCAGAATGCAGTAGCCTTGTCCTTTAAGGCCTTTGCTGTGGAAGCTGAAGAGGAGCTTTCAATAGCTCATAGCTTGGTCAAGCTGGGCCTTGTCCTCTAAACCAGCTTTTCGTATCAATCGCATGTGGTCAACGTGGCCAGTATTGACTTCCATAGTTTGCGGGCGTTGCGTTCACCGTGCAACCCAAATAGCTTTCCCAAGACCCTTGAAGCAATGAGTTCAGCCTAGTCGAAGTTGAACATCAGAATTGGACTTGTTTAGACAGAGGTTGGGGTTGGAACTTATGGCTGGGGAAATGTGCAGCTGGGCGTTGGAATGACAATTTTTGCTTTCCTCTTGCTGTATGGAGGTAAGATCAAGTAAGTCCAAGTGCTTGCCATATCTGTGCCCCTGATGTAGTGTGAATGTGGCACATTTGCAGACATCCCCCAGAATGCTTTCTTCAAACTTTGGCTCGTGACACTTGCCTCGGACTTGGCCTCGGTGGTTTTGACATCTTGGACGGCGCTCCGCGCTTTTTCTTGACTATTATACCGTTGGTTACATGCTGTTCTGAATATAATCCCAGCTGTTTCCACCCAATATTGGAATTCAAGGAGTTGATGCAAAAAAAAAAACGTATGCTGAAACTGTTTGGGGTCTATGCCAGAGTCTATGCTGCCAAAATTTGAAGGTCACGATTTCACGGCAGTGCCGACTCTTTTGTTGGATGTGATGCGTTGAGAAACGTAACTCTAACAGCATCTACCAACCTTCAAGTGCTGAAGATGATTCCAGCCCTATGGAGGCTCATGACCCTCGGCACAGCACACATCCCCCAGCTTTGTTTACAGTGGTCCAGTTTGCGGGGTACCCTGGAAAAGGGACACCGTAAATTGGACAGAACAAAGCTGGGAGATTTGTGCTGTGCCAAAAGACACACATGCAGCGATGTTTGTGGCCTTGTCTCCGCAGAATGCAAGGGGGGAACCTACTTCCTCCGCAAACGCCGCCGCCACCAACCTCTTCCGCGTTTTTCCACATTGTGTGAGGAGGGTTCACTTCACCGACGTGCAAGAGGCACGAACAAGATGTGGTTTGCTCGCCACAAGCCAATCGTGCAGACCAATGCTGTCAGAAGTGTAAGTCTAGGTCTAGGTAGTCGGTAGCGATTCATTGTTCAGCCAGTGACGTTTAAGTCTAGTCTAGCCTTTTGAGGCGCAGGTTCTTAGGTGAGCATACAAGAGTGCCATGCCGCAGGGAAGAACAAGAACGTATCATACCTTTGCAATTTGCAGATTTGATATCAGTCAACGGTCGTCATTCTGCTCATCCAAGGCATACTTTCTAGATCCTGCTAGAATGAACAATGTGTTTCAGTTGGGTCGTGTTGGGGCAGGCAGCAACATCCTTTGACTTCATCAAATGCAGGTTGTGGACATCATGAAGTTACAATCTGCAGCTGGGACCCCTCTCATCGTAGAGGGGTCTGAGATGATAGAGGCTGTTCCTAAAACGAGTGCAGAATAGTGCCAAACGAGCGAGTTCAGGTCGAAAAGTGGTCAGCGCTTTCACATGTCAGCAGCCTGCTGCACGACAGGAAGGCTCGGCCTTCAATTGCCAAGAAGTTCGTTCTCAGAGGTTGTTAGTGGAAGTTCGGTGTAGCGAGGCCCATAGTAGTAGTATTCGGGCATGTCGGACGGGTATTTTGGCTTTCGGCATTGAACATCGAATCCTTGGATGAAAGGTCTTGGTGAAGAAATCCTCAAGCTCTAAGTTCAGAACCTTGCATGCAGCTGTTGGCTGGTGCTTGTACCCTTTCATGTCACGACTAAGCTAAAAGTCCAAGGATATTTTGACATCAAGAAGAACACAGGAAAGTTTGAGTTCCAGCCACCTGACTGAACTGAGCTAAACAGAGAATTGTTTTGCACTTTGCCGCTCGCCAAGAAATCCAGTGGAAGAAGTGCAGGCAGGCAGACGCTGCAAAAGAAACTTATAGTTTTACAGTTGCTCTATGTTGCAGCACCTTATTGTTATCATGTTGCTTTCAGCTTGTTTTGCTTTCAGTGATTTTGGACCAGATTGCTTACCGGGCTTTATGCTTAAAGCCTTCTCAGTCTCCAGCAGCGTGGATTCTGGCCAGGAGACTTTCGGTGACTTTCTGCAAGAAGCAGAAGAGATCTACATGAAAGGCCAGGACCCCCCGCTGCCGCTGCGTGGAACTGGAACTGGCACTGGCACTGGAACGGGATCTAGAACAGGAACTGGAACTGTTTCAACCACCGGGCCACACTCTGCGCTTCCATGTGGCCATGCTCCAGGCTCAAATGCCCGGATGTATTTGCAAGAAACGCTGTCGGGTCACAGTGAAATGGCAGAGGAGCACAGTATATATTTATTTTCTTTATTCAATTTCCCACTGGGTGATCAAGTTCTCTAGGAGCGCGTTATCCCGATCCCTCAGACTGGTACTCCACCCCTGGCAGGAGTTTTCTTCTTGGAAGTGGGAATTGCCAATTCGCATCAGTGCTGAGTGTGGCTGGGGCTTACCAGATTCCAATGACGCTGACTCAGCTATGGAGCATTGGGAGTGGAGTGGATTGAATGGGAATTGGAGCTGGACAGTTGTTCAGTCAAAAGTCTGTGAAAAGGAAAATTTGTTCTTTGGTTTTGCTGCCTGCTGGCTGAGGAGCTTTTCATTGGAATGCTTGGAGCAGAAACTCCACTTCACTTCGATGAGCGGGAGAACCTGTTCTTCCAGGCGAGGCACGAGCCAAGACTGTAAAGAAGTATATAAGAAGATTCAGTGCTTCGATATTGCATCGTTTGCTAGAACCATTCGATGCAAGTTTGCGTTTGGATCCATGTCAGATCAGAGGGTTGAAGGAGATTGTCGTCTACCCGTTCGTGGACTACCCACGGCTATATCCATTCCCAACAACACACCCGTGTGATCGCCAGTGTCCTGACTTTTCGCAGATCATCCATGTGCTTTTGGTTGCTGTCCGTTTTGGCTTCTTTCCGTGCAGTTTGCGGCTTGTGACTCTACCTTGTGGTATTTGCACAAGGTCAATGGTTGGCAGTCCCCTTGACGCTGACTTGACCGCCTTCCCCAAATTCAAAGATGCGGTCGGACACTTCGCTACACTGAAGGACCGAGATCCAAAAAAAACACAAGATCAGAACGCAAGATTTAGGCAAGATCCTAATATTGCATTGTCTCATGACATGAGATGACAGTTGACACAGGCCGGTGACCTCCTGTACTTGCATCTTGTTCTGAACAGAACTGCCGCACGATAAGACAATATCACACCACTTTTTCACTTCAATGGGGGGCATCGTTGAGATTTGAGGCCTTATGGATGGTGGCACTGGCTTCGAAACCTGGACTCTGTGGCTGAAGAAAGTGGTTGCAGTTTCACTGGCCAGGCAAGACTATTGTAGATTGAGGAATCACTTTTGCTGCGTTGTGTTGTGTGTCCGGATGTGGTGCTGCACGGTGTGTGCAGCTTTTCATTCGAAGTGCTCCTGTTGCTCCACCTGCTGCTGCTGCCAGGGCTGCTGCTGCTGCTGCTGCTGAAATGTCTTTTGTCACTAATTTCACTGCTGCCGCCCGCGCCCGAAGGATGATGAAGTGGGTTCATGGAACAACTGCGGAGCAGCCAAAGTCATAGTTGCCAAGGGGGAAGTCACAGGCCCCAAAAAAGTATAAGGCCACACGGCTGCCGAGAAAGACAATTTGAGGAGGGAAAAGTGCGCGATGTTTAAAAAGTAGTGCCCCCGCCTTCTCCTAGCCAAGTAAGCTGCAAATATATACTGTAGTATGAGAACTCATGCATAGCATGGGGTTTGTCACTAAGCGACTCGCGTTAGTTCGCGGCTCGAACCCCCCTTTAAAGCTATAGGAGATGAAGCTATAGGAGGGGTCGAGCTTACGCCGCGATGGATGATTTGGCGCGTGCCTTTGCAGGCTGGACTGATCCAGACCTGCAGCTCCTGGCAGAGGGAGGATTGACGGTTACGAAATTGGCCACCTTGGCTGGGTGCCGAGAGAAGGGACTTGAGAGCATCCTCGTAGCTGCCAGGAGAAGAAAGGAAACCTTCAGTCAGGACGTCGCGGGCCTGAAGGAGTTGGTCGGCCAATGCGACAAGAGGTCGGCGAACGTTCATCAAGCCGATGCTGGGCGAGGGTCCCAAGACTTGCTGGAGGCGCACTTGGAGCACCAGCGAGAGAAGCGCCGGAAGGTGCTCGAAGGGCTGGGTCGTCGAGCGCGTCAAGCTGGTGGGCACGGCCAAGATCTTCAAGTGGCCGACACGCTTGGGGAAGAAGTTGCATTTAGCTGGCGCTGACCTGGCCCTGAGGGAGATGGCGGAGAGATCCGAGCGGGATCGTTGGCTGGCGGAGTTGAGGGAGCTGATGAAGAGGGCGAAGCTCCCGGTGGCACTCCGATCGACAGAGGACTCGCTCATGATGAGGATAGCAAAAGGGCGTCGTCCGAACACGCTGAGAAAGCATGTCAAAACATGGCAGAAAGTGGCACAATGGCTGGAGTCCACCTATGGCAAGCCCTGGCCTGCGAATGCATCAGAGTTTGCAGAATACATTGAAGCCATTGTGCAAGAGCCATGTGCTCGCTCAGCACCGGAGGCGGCCTACAAGACCTTGATGTTCATGGAGTACGCTGGCGAGGTGGATGAGGGGGACTTCATTCACCGTTCGTCGGGTGTGCGCAATGCCTTGGAGGAGGCACAGCTCAGGCTGGCCTCCGTGGAGATAAAGCCATCGAGGAAGGCCTTGTTGCTCCCGCTGGCCGTGATCATTGCAATGGAAGAGATGGTTGTGGATGACGATGCAATGCCCTTCTCGAGGGCCTATGCTTGGTATCGCCTGGTCAAAGTGTGGGCTGGCCTTCGCTTCGATGACACCAGGGGGACCCCGAATCGGAGCATGGAGCTTCGAGACAACCACCTAGTGGGAATTATCCACAAGTCCAACATCGGGGCCGGGAAAACGGATCTTGCTCCTGCCTTTCTATGTGAGCAGGGAGGCATGGGTCTCCCGCTACAACTGGTTGGAGGTGGGTTGGAAGATATGGAACCACATGGGAATGGAGGCAGGCATGTTGAAGAGAGATTTTATGTTGACCTGGCCTACGAGAGGCAGGACAGGGTTTGCACGGCGGATGGCGGACTACTCGACAGCATCCGCTATGTCTCAAGCCTTGTTTGGGGAGCTATGGACCATGGAGAGTGGCAAGAGACCATCCCTGTTGTTCGACGGCGTGGGCACGCTGTGGACAGAGCATTCCGAACGTGCGACCCTGAGATCGTGGGCATCGGCTGCAAGGATCCCGCCTGACATCAGGCGTCAGATGGGAAGGTGGCGTCCAGCCGCCGATGAAGGCTATGAACGGACGGCTAGAGCCAATATCTTGAGAAGCCAAAAGATCATAGCAGCATTCCTGCGGGACGATGAAGCAGCAGTGCTAGAGGCAGTCAGCGTCAAGATGGGTCTGCTGGGGTTTGCAGATGAGGCGATGGAGTGGCAGGCAGCACTTCTCGAGTCCTTCCATCCGGAGGAGTTGGCAGTTGAGCCATCATGGAGGCCGAAGTGGACGCCCACGGTCCCTGTGGTTTTGATTGAGCCCGAGGAGGGCGAAGATGTGAAGGACGTGGCCAACGACACCGGAGACGGTGGCTTCGAGTCGGAAGGTGAGGAGGAGCAAGCACAAGGGGCAAGTGTGGTGCCGGCCGAGAAGGTGGCTGGCACGTTTGTTGTGTCGATAGTGTGACGTTCGAAAACCAGAACGTTGCATCGCATTGGGGAGTGCCATAGGCAACCCGGCTTGCATTACTCCCAATTTGAAATTCTGGGAGATGAACCTCCCCAGCCCAGCATGTACCCTGCTTGTAAGAATTGCTTCGGCAAAGATGCAGCCGTAGCAAGTGGTTCTCCGGAAGAAGAGAGTTCCGGGGAAGTGACCCCGTCAGATTCGGTGGAATCGGAGGCGGAGCCATCGGCGTGAGTTGATGGAGTGGAGCTCATGCTGAAAAGAGGGACCTTGCTGCACTTAGGCGGGTGCATGGCAGTGAGATTGAGATGCTGTGCACGGTAGAGGGTTGAGTAGGATGTGCAAGAGGTTCGGGGAGTCGCTAAAGATGATTGCTTTCAACTGTGCTTGATTTGTGTTTGGTTCGGTCGATTCGCGTTTGAGATGGAGAGCATGGTAGCCCTGTCAGGCATGTGCACATATATGAGCCAAGCCCCAAGCCCACCGGAGCAACAGGGCACAACGAGGGGCATACGTGAAGTGAGAAGGATGAAGGTGCTGTACCTCTTCAGTGGAGCGCAGCGCAAGACTTCGGTGACCTCGGTGTTGCAGCAACTGGCCAAGAAGCAGGGCATCGAGTGTGAGATACACGATGTGGATATCCAGAACTCCCCTGAGTGGGATCTGACAAAGGGAGGCGCGCAAAGCTCCTTACTGCAACGCATCAAGTCGGGAGAGTTCGACGTGGTGCTGATCACGCCCCCGTGCTCCACATGGTCCAGAGTGCGAGGAGCAAATTGCAGGGGGCCTCCAATGATTCGATCCAGACAGTACGTCTGGGGATTTCCAGGGCTGTCGGGGAAGCACTCCAAGGATGCGGAGTTGGGGAATGTTCTCATCGAGTTCATGCTCGATGTCTTAGATGCATTGGAGCAATGTCCGGTCACCCCGGCTGGCCACGTGGTTTTGGTCTTCGGGAGCACCCAGAGGATCTTGGTGTGGCTTACAGAGAGGAAGACGGCGTGCTGATGGACCCCGCATCGATTTGGCAGCTTCCACGCCTTCGCAAGCATGTCGAAGATCCCTCACCACTACACCTCTTTACAGTGGTATTTAACCAGTGCTGCTGGGGTGCTCCCTACAGGAAGCCTACACGCCTCATAGCCAACCTTGAGCAGCTACGCTCGTGGGGGGCTTGCAACTGGCCTCAATTTGATGCTCATGGACACTATGCGGGCCCAGTTCTGTCATGTCAGTGCAAGCCCACGGTGACTTTGGCACGTTCGGCTCATGATGCAGGCTTCCGTACATCTACAACATCCTCCTATCCGCCTCAGATGGACGGTGCGTTGGCTCAGGCTATCTTGGCACAATGGGTGTCGACTCCACTCCAAGCTAAAGTGGGGCCAGAAAAGGGAGGAGGTGAGTCGAGAGCTTTCCACGACCCTGGAGCAGAGGTGCAACCAGCTCGAGGGCAAGACAAGAAGAGACCCTGCGGAGAAGGAGGAGCAGAGGCTGTTCGAGAAGGCAAGAGTCAGCGGAAATGGTCATCGAGAGCGGCCTAGGACCACCCATGCAAGTCAGTTACAAAGGTGAAGTGAGGGCACTTCACGATGGGGCGGGCCTATGCTCGCCAGGGAGGTGGCCGGTGAGCAAGCTCGCAGTGAAAGGGAGGCTTCAACTATGAAGTGGTTCGATGAGGCCTTCGGTTCTTGGTTGGGGGCTGTCGGCGAGGAGAAGGCGAAGGAGGTGTTCTGGAGGATGGCAGCCGGAAAGGTGCTCATGGATCCAAAGAGGCTGCCCACGGATCGAGAGGCTGAGATCAATCCTGGGGGG